TTACTCATTTAGCCAGATGTGGTGGAGCACCCGTTTAATCCCAGCCCTCAGGAGGCAGAAGCAGGTGGATCTCTTTGAGATCAAGGTCACCCTGGTCCACATTGTGACTTCCAGACAGGACTAGGGAGACCCTATCAAAACAAAACAAAACAAAACAAAACAAAACAAAAAACAAACAAAACTTTACTAACTTAGATGGTTAGCCTCCATGTTCTCCCAGAAACGTTCTTTTGGCAGTAAGCAGGTCTCTGGAAAGAAATCCCTAAAAATTAAACTGAATGGTTAGATGCAAGGATGCTAGATTTACCAGATTCCAAATCCTTTCTGATCTCTTGGTACCCTGTCCTGCTTCCATAACAAATATGCTCACTCTCCTTTTCCCATCAGAAAGAAAGAATAAACTCTTCCTTCCGTTGGCACAATGAAAGCTCTCTATTGGAAGTTCTATAAAACAATAGTTAAATAAGTACCAGATCTTATCTCTACCATAATCAAGAAGAAGGAGGGGAGGGTTACAGTCAAGCTTGAGATGAGGTTGCTACTTTCTTCTCCCAAGACTTGAGGGGGAGGGGGGAATCAGTTAAGCTATATCTGACTTCAGGGCACTTATCTCTCCTCTAATTGAGAAGGTTCTAAAGGGTCATGCTAAAACTTAACACACATTGCCTCCCTTGGTTAGAAAATAAATAAGGCTGAAGACTTACTTTCTCCTCTGTGAATTCAAGTCCTGTTCAGCCCTCAATAGGCAACTCTTCCCTCCACAGACAGAAACAGGTCTTGAAATTGGGAGGAATCACCTACCAGCTCAACCATAGCACCATCAAGTGACATTTAGGTTCTTCTCAGTCCTCCCTACTTTTACTTATTCGCATTATTGGCAGGAAACATAGTATTCTGAAGCATTGTGTGCATTCCTGAATATTAGCCTCAATTCAGAGTTTTCTCTTTCCCTAACTTGCCTCTCACCACTCCTCCTTATAATTCCTGGCATACTCCCTTTAATGATCATCTTCATGTCCGCATCCTATAACAGACATTCTTCTGAGTTCTGGTGGTAAATGAACAAACCAAAATTCCTACACCAACCATGATCTCCCAGAGGACAGAAACCATGCCTTAAGCCTCTGTGAGTTCCATAGAGTACCTAGAACATCCACAGTTAAAATCAAAGAGCTCCAAACTTGGTGCTTCCAGCTAACACCTGTGTACAAGTACCTAGAGCAATGCACTTATATAGCTCCATTTCAATATCATTATAAACGGGTGATGAAACAACAACCTGATACACATGACTGATGCAAGAACTAAATTAAATAATTCATAGCAGCAGTTTAAAATACTGCTGCAATATAACATGCCTTCAATAAAAGCTATTATTATCTGAAAATGGATAACAAAGATTGGGGAATTTTTACATCACCACCATTGGGTTAGTAAAACAATTTTCTTGAAAATGACTCCATGCATCTCTTAAAAATTACTTATATAATTTATTTGTAAAACAATAGGTTAGTAGATATAACAAGTCTATCATGTGCTAGGTTATAGTCTAAGAAACTGGTAATATTTCAGCATATTGTAACCTAAAAGTGCCAATTTCATATGGTTTTAAAACAGACAAACTGAGAGACGTTTTTAATCAAAGGAGCTGAGGTTGAATTTGGTACCAGGGAATCATAAGCCTTCACGAGATGTCAAACAGATGCTGTCCACTAAAACTGAAAGCACTGATCTTCCCAAGTTGAGAACCTGGTGTAGGAGGAGATCCAGCTTTCTGTCCATAGTGAATGCTACCATCTAAATTCCAGCTAGCAAAGCCTACACATACAAATTCTCACTTTTGAAAATACACACTTTGCTGAACGTTAAGCCTAAAATTCTTTTCCATTCAAGATATTGACATATAAGAGATTCTTCCATCCTGTGCTAAAAACTTAAATAACACCAGCAAATCATCATCATTATATACACCATCAGAAAACATATCACTCAGGACGCTAGAGAGATAGCTCAGCAGTGAAGAGCACTGGCTACTCTTTCAAAGGACCTGGTTTCAATTCCCAGCACTAATGTGGTGGCTAACAACCATCTGTAATTCCAGTTCCAGAAGAATCCAAGGCCCTCTTCTGACCTCTGTAGGCATGCACAACCTGGGTGCATTCATATGCAAGCAATACACTCATAAAAAAAATCACTCAGTTCTTTGACATCATCAAAAATCTTCCACGTATGATCTCAGTTCTATTTTATGTTTGGTTGAGATAAACAACCTACTGTCTTAGTTTCGTTTCATTGATTATCATTCATTCACTTGTTTATCCATCCATCCATTCATAAATCTATTGTAATCTCACTTTTCAACTTCATTTCTGTTTTAAGTCTACTCTTACAACAATTACAATGGGTTCTTTAACCATTAATCCCAGAGCATCTCTCACACCAGAACTGATATGATATGATCTGATTATAGAATTTCCATCTACTCATAAATTCCCCTTTTAGCATCCACGAAAACATTTCCTCTGGAATTCTATTTTCTTACCCATTTTACTTTCGTCTATTCTATATTTCCACTTTCACTTTATGTAAACTTGTTTGCAGCAAAGCTCCTTTCATTAGAATCCCTGATTTTCCTGCATTGTGCTGACTCTTCGAACACTGAGTCCACAACATGGCTTTAACTACTCCCAAGTACTCAAGTACACAACGGCTAAAACTCTAGAGTATCAGCCTAGATTTCTCCCTTAATCTTTATATGAATATATATGACAACTGATGGTTATCTGTGATGGAACAGTCATAGAAACCACAAACTAAACTTGTATAGAACTGAGCTCAAGATCTGTAACATGAACCTAACCATCTGCTTATAGCAATTTCCATCTCCAATATGTTAGATTCCAAATCTTAACTGCTTAGGTTTGCTATTCTTTCCATTCTTTTCTGTCTTATCAACCAACCCGGATTCATCACACTTTCCCATCTAAATTATTGGTTTCACTATTGCTAGCTATGAGCTAGATGATTTAAGGATATTAATGACGAACAATGGATGCGGAAATGCAGAAAAGGGTGAAAAGCCACACAGAATCACTGACCCAACACTCTCTACTATTTTAAAACTGCTCATAATAGGGTAGGGGTCTGTCCTTACCACAAATGCCTGACTGGCAGAGGTGTGTGTTTCATGGCCACGAGGGCGCCACCCCAGTCTAGGAACCAGACATTGTACTCTTCATCAAAGACCTGAAACAACAACAATATTCATAGCAACACCTTACATTTGCGTAGTGTGTAACAGTTTACAGTATTTCACAGATACTATTTCATTTAGATTCTGAGCTTTCCAGTGACTGTATTAGTCTGGCAAGAATTATCTGCATTTGATAAATGGGAAATTGGGTTCACAGAGAAAAAACAGCTCACCTTATCACACTGAAATGGCATTTTCAAGACTTTTCCGATTAGTTATGTGACCCAATTGAACTACATGAAGATGGGGGAATATGGTGGATGCTCAACTATGTAACCCAAGGAGGAGTGTGATTTTGAAGTTTTCATCTCTTTGTTTCTTTACAGTTTATTTTCCCGTCTTCTGTTCTTCCTTATCAATTCAGGTGTTTGCCAATTCATGAATTATCTATATCCTTTAGGATTTATAACTTGCCTAGGATCTAAAAGACAATTTCCAACAACACTAGAATAACTGAGTATTTAGACTAAGTCTAAGCCACTACCTTCCAGGTTGCCCTGAAGTTTGGAAGAAGACTTAACTTTGGTGCCTGTGAACCTCTTTCATAAATATTCATTATAGTACAGAATTTCCAGGGACTTAAGACTATTCAGTATTTGAGCTATGTATTGTTCGTGTGTTATTAATCTTTCCATTCACTCATCCACACATTCAATGATCCATATGTCCATCTAATCATAAACATTTGTTAAGTAGCAACTATAATCCAAGATTCTCAACTAAGAATTTTCAACCTAATCCCACATATATCAAGGTATGTCTTCTGTGATTCTTGCCTAAAGCATGAATAACATTTATTCCACAAAGAATTATTTTCAACTTCTGAGTTTGTAGAGGAAATAGACATTCAGAATTCCTCTAGCACTTAACCAATTATGGTGGCTCATGCAACCTAAATACAGAGATTGGGATGGTATTTAGGAGAGGGTTAGAAGAGGGTAAGCAGGAATAGGAAGATTTAAAAGGCAGATGTACAGGAGGAATGTGGTCTACTGTACATAGGCCCCAATGAACAACTATTATTTGCTTTATTTATATTTATCTTTTAAAAATATTTTATCCATTATGTAATGTGTATGGGTGTATTGCCTGCATGTATGTATGGAAGTAATGTGTCATGCAATGCCTGCAGAGGTAAGAAGAGGGTGTCAAATCCCCCGGAACTGGAGTTATGGACAGTTGTTAAATGCCATGTGGGTGCTGAGAATTGAACCCCGGTCTTCTGCAAGAATAGTCAATGTTCTTAACCACTGAGCTATCTCTCCAGTACTCATATTTATCTTTTAAGTAAAGAAAAATATCTAATGGCAAGTCTTAATATACAAAGGATGTAAAGGCACATCAGACATGAATAGAAAGCCTGAGCCTGTCAGTAATGTTAATCTTTTCCCTCCAGAGCTTAAATGATGGCTCTATGGCAAGTCGCATAATGGGGATGCAGGCCTGAAGCCAGGATAGTAGGGAAAAGTCATCCTTCAAACTTCCCTCTGGATATTGCCCCAGGCCACTGACAACTTCCCACGCCTGGAACTAAAGTGAAAAGTATAAGCTTGGTCCATTTGGGAAAGAGGGGAAGAAAATTAATGAAGGGACATCACCGAAAGGGAATACTGTAGTGGACGCCTGGCGAGGGGATCTCTTTTTTGATGTGGGGGGACCATTATATGTCTATTGGGAATCTGGTATTGGATGAGACTTTTTCCAGCTTCTGTATTCTTTTGGGCCTTGCATTTGGACTAGCTTATGTTTTGAAGCTCCATACCTTTTTATGTGTCTGTTGCTTGGTCACTTGATTAGAGCTTTCAGAGCAGGAAACTTGACACTCTTCACTGCATGCTATGTAGTATCTAAATTGATGCTGCATCTGTTAAGTGCTTGGTAACTTTCTCAATGGGGATCATAGTCACAGCAGGGGCAATGAGGGTAATGACAGTAGGGTGATAGTCATGCCAGTCTTGTCCAGCATCTAAATGGGACCATGTTTGATGACATCGATAATGGTGGATCCACCTGCATTGACCTACATTGTTGAGGCATTCAGTGTGCTTCTCTTTCCCCTTCTTTTCCCTTTCTTCTCATTTTAAGTCCGTAAAATATCACCTGTAACAGTTAAGCCTTTCCCACCGTTGCTTAACAGAACCAACTCTTCCCTCTACCTTGTAATAATACCACTAAAATAATGCAATCGCCCTTAACTATACTTTGTTTTATGTGAAATCGTTTTCTCTGTTTAATGTTGAGCTCCTTAAAAGGAAGGAATGCCAATTCTTGAGGCCCCTTTCTGACAGCTTGTTGACATTTGACAAGTCTGTGTCAGCCAGTAGAGTAGTCATGTATGACTACTTATATTTACATTATTAAAGAAAATTAAAAAGCTCAGTTCACATTCATCACATATCAAATGTCCAGCCATTAAATGAGACAACATAAAACACAGAGAATTTCTGTTATCACTCAGAAGTTCTATTGTTCATAACACTGAATTGATTTTTCTTCTACTCATATGGGTATTAAGATATTTTATATTTACTTATGGCTGGGTCTACAAAATTCTTAAATAATCACTGTAGTGGATTTGCCAGTTTTATATTCTAATCCTTTTGCTCTGTAGATAAAGAGATCCAGAAAGCTGGCGAGGACTGCTTGCCAAGATTCCTTGGCATACAAATGACAGAAACAATTTCATCAGTGTATCCCCAGAAACCAGCAAGCTGTTACATTCACACTTCTTAAGGAATGAATGAACCAGCTAGAACAAATCTAGGTTTACCTTTTTCTTGCCCAGTGCTCTTCACACCAACCTCCCTTCCCCTCTAAACTACAAGCTGCATTGACCAAGCTGAATAGTTGATCAAATATTTTGGATTGACAAAGTAATAATTAGTTAAGAATCTATAGGAAGGGAGATGCTGTAAGAAAGTACTATACATGTGTCTCCCCTCTTTCTGAATCACCCTAGTTACCTGTCTCCATGTGTTGCCCCCATCAGAGGAGATGAATACACTAATGTCAGTATATGAGAGCTCCGGGCCAATGTTACCTGAAACATAAACAGATCATTTGAAATTGTTAGGCAGTTTACATTTTAAGTGTTCTCAAGGTTAGAGGATAGGTGTCAGGGGAAAGTTTTTCTAAGTGTATTAACAGTTTATTTGTGCACTCTTTTATTGAGGTCATATACAAATAAAACCTGAGCACGAAGAAAACCCCACTATGAGAAAAACAAGGGAACAGTGTGACAGGATTGCATCTTTAGATGGTAAGATGCAGAGGCTTAATATTCATGGATATGAGTTTCTTGGATTATTCACTTTGTAGATTTACCCACTCCATTGTAAATTTTTCTTCCTGGTGTCCCATGAAAATGGCAAAGTGTGGAAGAGCAGAAACGTGTGGGGAAGATTGGCATGGAGGTCTTTTATTCCTTAGTATAATTTCAGCCGAAGAAAAGTTGATGCGTGAGTACTCACGTATGTGTGAACAGTGGGTAGATATTTCCAACTTAGTTTTTTTTTTCCTTTTTGAGACAGGGTCTCCATGTAACCCCAGCTAGCCTGAAACTCACTATATAGATCAATCTGGCCTCTACCTTACAGATATTCACCTGACTCTGTGAAAATGGCAAAGTGTGGAAGAGCAGAAACGTGTGGGGAAGATTGGCATGGAGGTCTTTTATTCCTTAGTATAATTTCAGCCGAAGAAAAGTTGATGCGTGAGTACTCACGTATGTGTGAACAGTGGGTAGATATTTCCAACTTAGTTTTTTTTTCCTTTTTGAGACAGGGTCTCCATGTAACCCCAGCTAGCCTGAAACTCACTATATAGATCAATCTGGCCTCTACCTTACAGATATTCACCTGCCTCTGCCTCTGGAGAGCTGGGATTAAAGTAGTGTGATACCAGGCCAAGCCCAACTTACATTTGATGACCTATAACTTGAGCACCAGACATTTGAATGACCCAATTGTATAGACCTAAACTACAGATTTCCCAGAGTAAGACTCCCCCGGGTATAGCCATGAAGCATGGGCGAAGGCATCGGTGTATGGCTAGAGTCCATATCCTCTCCCACCTCTTCACATTCTATTTTTCTGTCTTTCTTTCTCTTCCCCTTGAACTTTATCATTGTGGTTATGCCTGGGCCAGTGAGGCATAACACACACACACACACACACACACACACACACACACACACACAATAATTATGCAAAGGAAAAGTGAGATGTTTCTACTTTGCCTAGATTTCCCTGGTTTTACCAGCAGTCAGTCCACAGAGTCTATAATGCTGATCCATGTATAACAGTTAGTACACAATAAATAATTGTGGTATGACTGCTTGTGTACATAAAGGACTGAATGATGTTCTAATGTTGATGTGTACTTGGGGACATGTTAAAAACTAGGAGAACACCCTAAACAAGTAAGAGTTTATCGTATTGGCTGATATATTTTTTTCATTAAAAATTGCAGGAAAGGAAAGTTATCTCCCACACATCTGTAACCTAAATAAGAGCACAATAAAAATGCAATAATGAAAATGTTAATTGAGCTTCTGACATTTAATGCTTCAAAATGAAAAATTAAAGCCAGGCTACAGCTTGTCAGACTCCCATCAGCATCAGGGAGCACACGGCTAGCCAACTTGTTTTGACACTCAGGCTTCTAAAAATAACCCCAGAGTTTAGGGCTCAGGCAATAGGTAAAAAAGGAAAAAGAGAGGCTCTGAGAGTAAAACTCCATGGATATCTGTCTTGAATTCGGATTTCATTTCTCTAGACGAAAGTCTTAGAGAACACTGATGGGGTAGGGCATTGAAGGTCAACCCCAGATGTGTGGTGGTAGCTGCCTGGGATCACTGTGGTAAAAAGGGATTTGGAAGCCGAATGTGCTGCCAAGAGAATAGAGTATGGTGATCTGTCAGATCAATTAGTGAAAACAGGAGGGATAGAGGGAAAAAAGAGAGGAAGAAGGAAAGAGAGAGAAAGAGAGAGTGTTTCTTCACGTCTGCCTTCCTCACGTGTTCTCTCAGAATCCGTCCTACTGCCTCTTACCCTTATTAGCTCTTTCTGATTATGTTCACCCTCTCTTTCAAAGCTTCACTATGCTTAATTTGGCAGCTTGGTGGTGGTGAGAACCAGGTTCATTAAGAAATCTGTTTTTTAATATATCTTTTATCATCTGAAGGGCATCAAAAGCTACCCTGATGATCACAAGGACCAGAAATTTCTTTCCCAGAAACTAGGTTTCCCAGAAACTTCCCAGATCCTAGGAAGATCTGGTATTTGACCATATTCCATCTCTATGCAGCCAGGTGGGCAACCCATGACAGGAAAAGCTTGGGTGATGATGTCAGAGAGGAAGACTTGTCTAAGGGGCTTAATTGGCTAAGGTAGATCTAAGGGGACTCAATTAAAGTGTCAAGTGATAGAAGAAGAAGCTACCCAGGCAGGGATGCCAACAGCTCAATGGAGAAAAGCTCCATACAGCCAACTGCACAGAGAAATTATTCCCAGGAAGTGGGGCAACATGAGGTATGAACATTCAGTGTTTCTAGGAAGCAAGGCAGGGATGGGTTAGCTATGAAGCTGGCATGATTAGAGGCTTCTGGACAGGTGTTGGACAGTCACAGAACTGAGCCCTGCCCTGGAGTCAAGAGAGAGAGAGTGGGCTTGGCCATGATGCCTCCTTCTTCCACTTGACTTGTGCATATGTCAATGGAAGAGGATTGTCATTGTCACACCTACAACACTAATGTTCAATCAAGGCAAGGAATGTGCTTGTCACACTGTAATACATCATGAGGATGTGCACTCTTCACTACTAGTGGAAACCAGTGCTCAGGATATAGAGAAGTCCATTCTGATGCTTGCTAAAACCGCTGGAATCTCTAGACTTGCAGTACTCTTCCTTCTGAGATGTCCTAGCAGAAGGTGGAAATGGATCTTGGGGCATGTATTCATCCACAGATCCCAAGACCAGGATTCTGGAAGAAAAATTCACATGCAGACCACTGATGGCATAGATGAATTCATAATCATAATTATTGTCCTGAAGGTAAATAATCTCCAGCAACAAAAAAAATCCATCAAAGTAAGGAAAGCTGGGCATGAGAAATTAGAAGCCAGCAAATCAGCTCAAGATCTTGTCATCTGTTTCATAACCCTCTTTATGCTTCAGGACTCCATGGCTCACAAGAAACCTCAGGAGTTAAATATGAAAGGAAAGATAATTAATAATTTTGATATACTTTGACAAAATACCCCAAAACATCTCAAATATCTTAAATCTGTCAACTCATTGAAGCCCTAACATGCTAATTTAGAAGCATCTGTGGTCAATCTCACCCCACTAAAGTCTGAGCACATTGTCCAGGCCCTTTTATAAATATGGCCAGTTGTTTAATGTATTTTCCATATGCACATGGTATAAAAAAAATTACCAGAGAGAAGAAGGCCATCTCTAACACATAATCATATAATCAAAGCAGACAGGTCATGAGAACATCTGTATTTGCCTAAAAATACCTTGGAGACTGCATCAAATGTCCCAAAAGACATTTTTTGTTATTGAGTAAGAGCTTCAAAAGGATCCATATTGTAAAAGTCAGATAAAACCACAGCTTTCTCCTCATTCCAATGGAAGATAGGCCCTGAAGGAGCTGGGCAACCAACATGCCTAGACAACATGATCTGACAAGACAAAGTCAGGTCAGACTTTCCTCAACACAGACTAAGGGTAAGAGCCTCAGGATGTAACTTATGGTGAGCTGAAGAACTAGTACCTCTTTCACGTTACAGAAGCTTCCTGTTCTGAGGCTGTAAGGAGAAGGCAAGATAAAGCAGGATGCTTCCTTTGGCAAACCCACGACAGTTCTTCCTTGGGCTCTGTAGAGTTGAAGAAGATGCAGACCAGCTTGCAGTATAAGCACAGTACACAGTCAGGATGCCATGCCATGACTACTAAGATACTAGTCCATTTTTCTTTTGTGAGTCATTACTTAAGTGAAGGCTATGCAAACTCCCTGAAAGAACAGTTAAGCCACTCAAGTTGAGGATGTATCTGGTCAGCAAGAAGTTTTGTGTATACAACCAGGAAAAATTCAGCAGAGCTCTACTGGGGAGACTGAGCTCTATCTTAGAAAATAGAAAAAGACATGTTTGTGAGATCAACTCAAGAGCAAATACCACTGCCCAATCTTAGAGACATGGTCTTCATCTCTAATTCTTGCAATACTCTCATAAGGAAGAAAATAATACGTATTTTACACTGAGGAAAATGAAGTTCAGAAGTTAAAAACAAAAAAAGAAAAAAACCAAGCCAACTTCACCAGAGTGGTATTAGGGCTCCGTTTAGAAAGCAGGACGGAAGAGCTCCTGAATTTCACTGTGTGCATAACGTATGCATATGAGTTATTGGTCCTATTGAAGGAGAGGAAAAAATTATCTTCTTCTGATGCTAAAAGAATACAGTTCACATTCAGGATATACAGAATGATGATAGGTAATCCTGTACTGAGAATTCAATATGTTACCAACACTGCTTGAAGCATTTGAAATTCATTGCTTCATTTAATTCTGCAATTTGGTTATGTCAATTTTACTATCCCCACTTTGTCAATGAAAACACTAAAGTTCAGAGTGGTTTAACCACACTGAACAATTCCTGGTTACATCTTAAGCATTCAAATGTCTCCTTTGCCAGCAACTATTTTCCAGTACAGCTTCTGTTCTGGCGTTGGATCGCTTGTAGGCTCTGAGTCTCCTCAGAGAGTTTACCAGCCCCAGAGATGGAAGAACCAATTCACGGAATGTGGGGTGTGAGGATCATTCTCCAAACTCTCTCTGGCCAGGACCAGAGCCACAAAACCTGCCCTCATCTCTCACTGTCCTAGGATTTTTGAGAACTTAGTGTTAGTCATGGTAGATCCTGTCCACAGGATTGGGAGGAGAGATACTGAGTGAAATGGCAGCAGGCTGTACCTGCAGTCCAGTTAAAGTGATTAGTCCCTGCTGGTATCTTAAAAAATAACCTCTAGATAGG